AATTAAAAAAAAAAAAAAGAGTGGAAGGCCCTCAACAAGGTGGACGGACACAGTGGCTACAGCGATGGGTTCGGATATAGTAGGGATTGTGAGGTTGGTACAGGTTCTGCTGTACACAGTTTCGCTATGAGTCAGAGACAACTCGATGGCACCTAACAACAACAACATGTTCGCTGCAGCACAACTCACTATAGTAAAGAGATGGAAACAACCTAAATTCCCACCAACAGATGAATGGCTAACCAAATTATGGTACATTCACACAGTGGAATATTATACTAGGTTAAAGAACAATGAAAGATACGTGAGTCATCTCAGAACATGGATGAGCCTGGAGGACATTAAGCTGAGTGAAATAAGTCAATCGCAGAAGGACAAATATTATATGAGCCCATTACTGTATAAAGACAAGAAAGGGTTTGCTTAAGGAAGGGAACTCACTTTGTAGGTTACCAGGATGGGGAAGGAGAGGAAGGGAATAATTTCGGGCTAGTTGGGGTCCACATGCTGAGGTGGGTAAGGGGAGGGATGGTATGGAAAGAGTCTGTGACCACCATGATAACACTGGGGAAAGGGAGAACACCGAATTATGCACATAAGATATAGACAACAGAGGCTAATACCAGTATATCCACAATACTGCATTACCATTAACACCAAACACCAGGCTACAGACAAACACATAACATAAACATCTGAGATCAGATGGGGGTCAGTGAACAGGAGTATACTCTAGACCAAGGATAGACTCAGCGAAGCCTAATCTTGCACAGATACCAGTGATACAAAATACCCACATTCCTTACAGAAACAACAAAAGACAGACATAGAGCAATCCCCTCACAGACACCCAGATACTATGGGAGAGAGATCCAATGGATCTACCAACTCAGGACCATAGTATTGGGGTACACCATCAGCACAACAAAATACATAAAAATCTTGTTCCACAACCTACATCAGTGAGTAGCGACTGGGGTCTTAAAAGCTTTCAAGCGGCCGTCTAAGATGCAGCTAATGGTTTCCTATCATTGGAAGCAAAGAAGAGTGCAAAAAACCAAGGGCATTTGGAAGCAATCAGCCCTAGGTCATAATGGACCTCGAGACCAGAAGAACTAGATGGTGCCCAGGTACCAGCCACTCAGGAAAGGATCAAATCTGGAGATCCTGGATAAAGTGGGAGGGAAAACATGGAACAAAATCCAGAAACTCAGTAATGACCAGAATTACTGGTTATATGGAGTCTGGTGAGAACCCCAATAATATGGCCCTGGGATAGACTTCAGGCCTGGAATAAAACTCACTCCCAGGGGCTAGCTCTCAGCCCAACAGTAAACAAGATGTACATACAGACCATTCAACCCAGGGTGACGCACCCACATACTCTATGGAGATGCATGCCTTGGAGCGATTGACCACGGGCACCAGAGGGGCAACGTTCGCATGGAGGAAACGCAGGAGTCCAGAGCTATGGGGGGCACGGGGCAGGGGTGTACTGGGCAGAGAGTGGAAGAGACTGGGTTAGGGTTGGAGATAGTAAATGGGGAGTGAAACCAAACGTAAACGAAATGTTGAATGTAAAACAAACTCTACTCCATAAACGCGCACCTAAAGCACACAGAAAAGACAAATATATATATATATATATATGTATGTATGTATCTATATATATATATGTATGTATATGTATCTATGTATACATATACACATATACATGGGAGCTCTGGTAGCATAGTGCCTAAGGCACTTGACTGCTAATCAAAAGGCTGGTGGTTCAAACCACCAGCCACTCCTTGGAAGGAAGATAGGGCAATCTACTTCTGTAGTGATACTGCCTCAGAAACCCAAGGAGGGGTCGCTGTGAGTCGGGTCCTACTCAACGACACATAACAACAACACATATACATATACAACATATACAATACATATACATATATATCGTTGTTGTTGTTATTTGCCGTCGAGTCAGCCCCGACTCATAGCGACCCCTCCTTGGGTTTCCAAGGCAGTATCACTATAGAAGTAGGATTGCCCAACCTTCCTTCCGAGGATAAATATATATATGTACATGTGTATCTATATGGATACACACACACACATATATATACACACATATAAATATATATATGCGTCATCCTCGGAAGGAAGATGAGGCAATCTACTTCCGTAGTGATACTGCCTCGGAAACCCAAGGAGGGGTTGCTATGAGTCACGTCCGACTCAATGACAAATAACAACAATGTGTATATATATGTACACACACACACATATAAATAAAGGCCTTCAGTGGTGCTGTTCGCCCAACTGCTACATCAGTTCCTTAAGAATGAGCTATGTCACAAGCCCACAGGCAATGCAGCAACGGAGAGTGCAAGTCATAAAGAAGGCAGGGACCCAGGTGTTTGTAGCAAAGCAGTCCATTTACATTAATTCAACATGATGACTAATTCAATGGATGGACAGACAAGTGGATGAATGAGCAGACAAATGGATAAAGTGTTTTTGACAGGTCTGTTAGCTCTTCTAAAAACAAGTCACAGATTCCTACCTCCTGGAAAAACTTCAAAGATGTTTCAGGCTGGAGACCCCCAACTCAGTTTCCTGCTCTCAGCATCTGTCTTCCTGGCCCCTCCCATTTATGTGTGTCCCTTCCATGAGACCTCCTCAGCATTGGTGGGTAGCCAAGACCTGCTGGACGGCTGCATGGAGATGCCCTGCACCACCGTTCACCTGCCTTACTAGGCCACTTCACACACAGGCAACACGATATCCCACCCTGCACCAGGGCTCCATGTGTCAGCTGGGCCAGCCCTGACCTCTGTACTTCAGCCACAGAATGGAGAAACCTGCCACAGGGGTCAGAAGGTACGCAGGGTGAAGCAGGCCATAGCCTGGTGCAGCCTTGGACCAACTCCTAGGAAACATATAGCACTAGCCTCCCGAGAGGCCTGGGGTCTGCACTCCACTAGTCCCCAGGGACACTGCAAGGCCTAACTGGACTTCCTAACAACTGGCAGGGTACGAGGGACGTGGACACTGTCTCCACCCACTCTCCCAGTGCAGGGGACATGCACGTCGCCTCCACTCACTCCCTCAACACAGGCAGAACATTGCTGACATGTATGTCCAGGACTCTGCACATCATCAATGCTCCCTGCTCAGCACCTGGAGTTCCAGAGAGCAAGGAAAGCACTGCATAGCTAAGGAAGGGCGGCATCCAATGTGAGCTTACATATTCTCCCCAGACTCTACGCCCTGCTGCGCCAGGACTGTGGAGAGGCCTCTTCTGTCAGTTCTGGACCGTCCCCAGGGCTTAGGGTTGGTCCCCAGCACCGGGAGCCACAGCAGCTCACCAGCTTGATGGCCTGTGGAGATGAGTGGCTGGGCACTGGCAATCCCTGGTCACCAGAGCCACTGAGCCACGTGGACTGATCTGAAATGTACTTTTCTCAAACCGGAAATCCAGGCTGCACAAAGATGTGCTGACCCACGTGGGCAAGGGAAACCAGCAACCCCGTGGAGACACGGCAATACCCATGCGGGATGGGGGTCCAGCAGCCGCGTGGGGACATGCTGACAGGCGTTGAGCGAGAGAACCCAGCAGCTGCGTGGAAACTCACGGACAGACATGTGGGAGAGGGGTCTGGCAGCTGTGGGGAGATGCACCGGTGCACAGCCGCATGGAAACACGCTGGCCATGTGTTCAAGGGAATCCAGCTGCCTCATCAAGACATGCTGATGGGCATGAGCAAGGAAATCCAGCAGCTGTGTGAAGACATGGCGACGCACGTGCAGAAGGGGGGTCCAGCAGCCACAGGGAGATCATGTGTGCAGGAGGGATTCTAGCAGCTCTGTGGAGACACACTGATGCACACGCAGGAGTGGGGACCAGCAGCCACATGGAACCATGGAAACACACTGACACGTGAGCGCAGTGGGGTCCAGAAGGTGCCTCTAAGTCAGACCTGGAGCAGCACTGCTGGCATGAGCACCCAGTGACCCACAGCACACGCCGCACACTGAGTTATGCAATGTGGCCAGCTAGAGATGGGAGGCTCGGTGGAAACAAACTAGACTTGGACACCCAGGTATCTTAAATGATCACAAGGGAATGAAGACTGCGCCCGGACACTACTGAATACCATCTCTGAAGGCATCTCTGCTTTCATAACCTAAGTCAGACTCAATAAACCTGCTGTCGCTAAGACTGTCCCATTCACATAACGAGCACCAGGTGCTAGGCCCAGGGCCAGGTGACACCGCTGGCACCTCTCAGTGGCCACACTACAGGCAGTGACCACAGGTGAAGTACCACATTCCTACTGTGCAGAGGCCTTACCAATGGAAGAGACACTGTGGGGCCTCACCAATGCGATGACTCACCAGAGGGGAGTGGTGAATCACCCACCTCTTCAAAGAAAATGGGGGACTTAAAGACTTTGTGGCACTGGGACGAATAATCAAAAATTAAAACAGTGAGACATTCCCATACATGAGGTAATGTAATTACACCAGGGGAGGGGGAAGGGTGCAAAGGCTTTGCCAACAGATCTTGCATGAAGCCTGTGCTCACCTGCCGCCCTGGGTTGCAAATCCATACAAGGTGCAGGTGACCTCCCCGCAGGCCAGGATCGCCCCGTGGCGTGTGTGTAGGTCTGGGCTCTGCGTCAAGGACAACAGTTTAGGAAAAACTGCAAAGACAGGCAGGAGGGGGGTCACAGGTGAGCAAATATGAGGAGTGTGTTCCAGACAAACCAAAGTGGCAAAACCCACCCACAGGGGAAGTCACCCTCAGTCTGGGAAGACTCACTCCCCGTGGGAAGTCACCCAAGGTCAGGGAAGATGTGCCCACTGTGGGAAGACATGCCCACCATGGGAAGTCACCCGCGGTCAGGATCTTCGCAGAGCACATCTGACCGTGACACCCAGGCCCCCAGCCTGGCAGGGCCTACACACAGTGAGGGGTCTAGAGCCTCGCTGAGCGGCAGCATGAGCCACCTAACCTACTTCACTAGGGGCTTCTGACACCGCCCACACTGCTGGGGTCCTGGCCACGGGGCAGGAAGAGCAGACAGGTAGGGAAAAGATCCCTGCGTTCCAGCTTTCCTTAAACCCTGACACCTCATTTCCCTGTACTGTGACCCAGGGCCGGCCCACCCTGCTCACCCCTACCCAACAAGAAGACTGGGCTCAAAGAGACTGTGTGCTGACTGCAGCCAGAGCTAGCAGCAGTCCTGGATTATAATGATGGGAGCGCACACAAGTCTACACAAATTACAGAAAGGTAGTAAAAAGATGTATCATACGTGAAAAAGCGCAAGTCTGTAAAAAATTCACAAAAAGGAAAAGCAGAGAGAAAGGGGAGTCGAAGAGATTTCCTGGTAAAGGAAGCATCTGTCTCTAAAACAGTGTCTCAGTTTTTGCGCAGGACCCCTCTGACCTGGAGGAGAGGAGATACAAGCACCACGAGCCACCCCCTCCAGGCTCACCCATGCCTTGGTAACCCCAGCTGCTCTAAGACTAGCCTCAAGCCGGCTATAGAGCCAGAGGCAGGGTCACAAGGGCACAGGGACCACCCCCACCCACAGCAGGCCTTGACACAGGGTAAAGTGGTGGCCTGCCAGAGAACGAGGTCTCAGAAGGCCACCTACTGCCCAGTGGCCTGGGAATGCTCTTAATCTGAGAACACTCACCCACTCGTCCACTCACCCAGCCAGGATTGTTACTCAAGGCAGAGGTGGGTAAACACCGCACAGAGTTCATGCCGCTGTTAGGTCACCAAGCTGAAAACTCACTGCCGTCGAGTCGGATCCAACTCATAGCAACCCCTCCTTGGGTTTCCAAGGCAATATCACTACAGAAGTAGATTGCCCAATCTTGCTTCCAATGAGTGGCTGGTGGATTTGAACCACCAGCCTTCTGATTAGCAGTCAAATGCTTTAGGCACTATGCTACCAAGCTGAAAGGGCCTCAGAAATAAGCAGCCCAAATCTTTGTTTAGGAGATGGGAGAGCTGTGGCCCCAGGGAGAGCTGTGGCCCCAGCCTCCCCTGCACCACCCCCTGCAGGCAGCCCTGGGAAGAGGAAACAGCCTGGTGAGGGCAGTGAGCTAAGGGCAGCCAGTCCTGCAAGGCCCTTGCAAGGTCCCTGAGAGGCCTCAGGGCAGCCACACTTACCGTGAGTAGCACAATATTCAGGAGCACACCAGGCCAGGTTCCGCAATGCCTTTGCAGACAGCTCCCGGATGACCCTGTACGAGGGAAGAGAGTTGTTGATTCCTGTATTTGATGGTTCTACTTTATTAAATTCATGAAAAGAAAACAAAACACAGTGTTTGTGACAGCCGTCCACTGGCCCTGTGAGCAGAAAACCAGCAAGCAGCATTAATCAGCCTCCAGTAGTTACCAGGCTCCGTGTAGTCCACTACATCTCGAGGCACCCGGAGCAGAGCTGCTCCGCAAGGTTTTCAGCTTGGCCTGTCTCCCAAGGTGCCACTGGGGGGCCTGGAACCCCAACCCTTAGGTCAGCACTCAAGCACTTAACCATCACACCCCCCGAGAAGCTTCTAACTCGACCTAACACTCACAACTACACCCTGTGAGTGCAGTCATTCATTCCAGGCTCCCATGAAACCTTTCACCAGGACTGAATGAAAAATGGGCCACAAATCAAATCTCAATGAATTGGAAAAGCCTGAAACCATATAAAGTTCATTCCCTCATCACCAGGGAAATACATCAGATATTCAAAACCAAAGGAAGAACAGGAGAATCACAGACATGTAGAAATTAAACAAAACACTTGTACATGACCCATGGGTCAAAGAAGAAGTAAAGGAAATTATACTGAAGTGAGTGAAAATACCGACCCATCACAAGGCACAGCATGCATGTAGTGCAAGGGCTGCTTGTATACAGCCTTTCTCACCATGGTCTTGTTACTTCCACCAAATGACTGAGTGGGACGACTATGCAAATGAGGTGCTTGTGGCCTACAAAGGGGACTGGACAGATTGCTAATAATGTAAGAAAGGTGCACGGCATACTCGTGGGGTGGGACCATGCAAATAAGGTTTATGGAACCCTAACAAAGGGACTGGTCAATTTTGCCATCCTCTAGGCTTTAAATGAGCAAATCCCACCCCCTCAGGCAGAAGGGAAGGACCTCATGACCATGAGAGTGAAGGGTGCCCTTTGGGACCAAGGTCCCTGTGTTAAGAGCCTCCTTGACCCAGGAGACAAAAAGAGTATAAGGCTGGACACAGTGCACTATGGTGAGAACTCGCAGCAGAGAAACAGCGGCACAACTAGGAGACCAGCACTGGATGGCTCCGTGGGCTTCCTGAGCTGCATAACAAGGTGGTCACAGCAGGTATGCTGACCCCTAGAGCAAGAGAGCTGGGCGCCTTTGGACAGGAGGCTTCCTGGTGGAGTGGGCCACCCCCAGGTACTTACTGACACAGCTAAAGACTTTGTAACATTTGCCTGTGTAGGGTAGGGGCTGAGGGGTTCAAGGTTCAAGAGACCAAGGGCCAGGGACAGGCCTGCCTAGGGGGACAGCTGAGAAGGGGCTATCTGGATGAAGAACCAAAGCATTTCAATCCTGAATACAGGGTACCTGTTACTTCTCTGATTAATCTCCTAACTGTGACTCTGGTCTGCGAGTTCTGTCTGGCCATTGCGATAAATTATCGAACCCAGCAAAGAGCAGAGTGTGTGTGGGAGGGATGGTTGGAGTCAGAACTAGTGGGAAGACTGGAGAGAGGAGGCACGTCTGACCTCTGCCTCATAGGAATCAGCCTTGGGCTGATGCTGATGGTGATTATCCCGCCCCTCATGAAGTCAGAGTGTGGCACCACAACGCCCTTTGTACAGCAGCTACAGCAGTCCTGGGGGAAATGCATAGCTTTAAACATCAATATCAGAAGAGAAAGCTCTCAAATCAGAACCAAAACTTTCACTCTAAGAAACAAATAAAAGAGCAAATAAACAAAAAGCAAGAAAGAGTAAAATAATAAAAACTGGAGCAGAAATCAATTTTTTAAAAAATGATAAAGAAAAATCAATAAAACATAAGCTAGTTGTCAAGGGATAAAAGAGGGGAACGCTTTTCAATCTATCTGATGACATCAGAATCACCCCAATACCAAAACCAAACAAAGACATCACAAGAAAAGAAAGCTAGAAACCAATTTTCCTCATAAACACAGAAGCAGATTGCCCAGTCTTCCTTCCACGGAGTGACTGGTGGGTTTGAACTGCCAGCCTTCTGGTTAACAATCAAATGCCTTAAGCACTATGCCACCAGAGCTCCCCAAAAATCCTTAGCAAAATTCAGGATTATATACCAATACCAGAAGGCAAGGTTAGTTAACATCTGAAAATCAACCAGTGTAACACAATCAATAGAATAAAGGACAAAAAAACACATGACTATTTAATAGACACTGACATAGCCACCTGAAAAAATCTCATATCCATTCAAAATGAAAACTCTCAACAAAATGAGAATAAAAGGGAAGTGCTTTAGCCAAATAGTTATTTACCCAAGAGAAAGAGAATGGGCTTCCCCATGAAGACAAGTTGAGTATTCACGGCAGCAATATTCATTAGAGTCCCACCTTGGAACCATTCCAAATGAAGAAACAAATTATGACCAAGTACACTGTTATGCCCACACAACGGACCACTGTCAAGTCCACTCTGACTCCTAGTAACCCCACATACAACACAATGAACTACTACCCAGTCCTGTGCCAGCCTCACAGTCCTTGCTGTACCTGAGCCCATCGATGCAGCCACTGTGTCAGCTCATCTCATCGAGGGCCTTCCCCTTTTCCGCTGACCCTCCACTTTACCAAATATTATATCCTTCTCCAGAGAATGGTCCCTCTGACAACATGATCAAAGTAGATGAGATGAAGTCTGGCCATTCTCGTTTCCAAGAAGCATTCCAGCTGCACTTCTTCCAGGACAGATTTGTTTGCTCTTCTAGCAGACCATGGTACTTTCAGCATTCTTCTCCAACACCACAACTCAAAAGCATCGACTCTTCTTTGGTGTTCCTTATTCACTGTCCAGCTTTCACATGCATATGAGGGTATTAAAAATACCACGGCTTGGTTCAGGCACACTTTAGTCTTCAAAGAGACATCTTTGCACCTCAGCACTTGAAAGAGGTCTTTTGCAGCAGATTTTCCCAGTGCTATATGTCGTCTGGTTTCTTGAGTGCTGCTTCCACAGGTGTTGATGGTGGAACCAAGTAACATGAAATCTTTGACCATTCAATCTTTTCTCCATTTATCATTTCCCACTCATCTGTCAGTTTGTTGCACTGTGGTGGTTTGCATGTTGTGTGAGGCTTGAGGCTATGCCACTGGTATTTCAAATACCTGCAGGGTCAGCCATGGTGGACAGGTTTCAGCAGAGCATCCAGACTAAGAGCTTCCAGACTAAGACAGACTGGGAAGAAGGAAGGGCCATCCACTTCACAAAGAATTGGCCAGTGAAAACCTTATGAATAGCAGTGACACACTATCTGATACGGTGCTGGAAAACAGACCACTACTCAGCAATAGAGGGAGGGCACACGGCCCCAACACATGCCACACCATCCAAAGACCTCAAAGTGATGGCAGCAGACACAAAAGACAATGTACGATATGACCCCAGGGCCTTGATGGTGCCGTGGCTCAACACTCAGCTGCTCACCCAAAGGCTGGTGGAAGAAGGCTGAGGCAGCATGCTGGTGTAATGATGACAGCCCTGGAGACTACAGGCAGCTCCACTCCATCCTACAGAGTCATGGTGAGACAGAGTTGACCAGATGGCACTGGGTCCGCTTTGTGTGTGCGTTTCCACACTTCTCTGTAAATTTACTGTGTAGCATCGAAATATACACTTACAACAGACAACTTTCATGGTATATAAATCATACCTCAATAAAGCAAAAAAAGAACCCGGAAATGATTCAGCCGAGTATTGGCTTCCTAACAGCTACATGTGTGCTGACACATTCAGGATCAGCAAATGCCTTCTTAAAAACCTAGAAAGTAAATACTTTAGGTTTGTGGGCCATATGGTCTCTGTGGCAAGTACTAAACTCATTTTGTAGCATAAGCAGTATGTAAACAAACACTATGTAAGCAAACAGACAGCATGTAAATAGGCAACATGTAAGCCAAGAGATAACATGTAACAAACAGACAACATGTAAGCAGACAGGCAACATGTAACAAGCAGGCAGCATGTAAGCAAACGGGCAACACGTAACCTTCACAGAGAAGGTGCGGCAAGGCACCACGCCGCATGGGAAGCCAGGCTGCTTCACCTCAGAGCAATGTGTAAGCAAATGGGCAACGTGTAAGCAGACAGTCAACATGTAAACAGGTAACATGTAAACAGACAGTCAACATGTAAGCAAGCAGGCAACATGTAAGCAAACACAACATGTAAACAGACAGGCAACATGTAAGCAAACACAACATGTAGACAGACAGGCAATACGTAAACAGACAACATGTAAACAGACATGTAAACAGGCAACATGCAAGCAAACAGATAACATGTAAACAGACAAGTTGCAAACAGACAGGCAACATGTAAATAGACTGGCAACATGTAAGCAAACAGATAACATGTAAGTAAGTGGGCATGGCTGTGTTCTAATTAAGCTTTATTTACAACATCAGGTAACTGGCCTACAGGCCCTAGTTTGCTGATCCCTGAAAAGTACATGGTAAGTAAGCTCATGGTCTAACACCATGGGTCATATACAAGCATGGTCTTAACCATTCACTAGGTGATGAGCCAGTGGAAGTGGCAAAGTCACTCATTTCTCCCAGGACCTCTGCTCCTCACTGTCAGTGTCTTGGTATCATGTCTGCAGTGATGTGTTCCATGTAAGGAACTTCTCCCACGCTCTAGACGTGAAGGTCCAGCAGGGACACACTAAGGGCAAGCTCTCACGGCCTGAGAGCACAACCCAAGATGCCCTTCCCAGAGAAGGTGCTGCGAGGCGCCACGCCGCGTGGGAGGCCAGGCTGCTTCGTCCCAGAGCAACAACGACCGCTAGTTTCCAGGCCTTGGTCCTCCCAGAAGCTGAAACGTGTTCTCAGAGAATGAGGAAGAACTTTCTGCAAGTGGTACCCCCTGAAATCGGGAAACTGGGAGCGCACACCTACTCCTTAACAACACTACTTGTCTTGAGGCCACCGAGCCTCACACTTACCACACCACCAGCAGCCGCACTTAGTCCTTTACATGGAATTCTTGGACCTTCTGGAGGTGCTGTTACCACTGGCGGCCCTAACACCAATCCATGTTTAGCCTTTCCTCTGGAGACATGTTTAACTGCCCATGAAATGCTAACACACCTGGAAACTGCAACTGTCATCATGGCAGTGGCTAGTAGGACCTGCTAAGTTCCCAGCAGCCATCTCAGAAGGCAAAACAGGGCCAGGGCCAGGGCAAGAGCAGTGTCACGTGGCTGGCTACCATCAGCTGAGCAAGCTGAGGCATGCTGGGGAGGACTGTCTCACTGCGCGCCAAGGCTACGGACTCACGTGCGCACATTTATGGCTGTCAGCTGTGCCGGGGGCAGCTGCAAGTCTCCAAGAGGACAGCTGAAGGCAGTGCGTTCACCGACATATCGGGCAAGGGCACTGGGATTTATGTCACTTCTCAGAAGTTAATTTAATATGTGACATCTACAAGAGGAAATACACAAGGCTTGTAAATTCAACTTGATCTCTCCTCTGGGAAAAAAAGTAAGAATTCTTACCTGACTGACAGGCTAACGTACATAGCTCATCAGAGGAACACAAAAAGACAACACATACCTATCCCAGTGGCTGATCTTCATGGTGACCAGATGGTCTATCATGGGTTGGGTATACTCAGGAAAGCCAGCAATGAACACGCTGAAAAAGAAGCCACACGTTCAGGTCAGTGGAGATGCTCAGAAGAGGGGCTCATATTCTCACACAGAGTGTGCAGGGTTCCAGGACACTTCGTATTCACAGCAGATGAGCCTGGAGGCTTACCACAGACACCACAGACTGGAGGTGAAGGAAGAACTCGAGATCAATGGGCATGTGACGTGAGAAACTTCACACCTGAGACACACCTGAGAGGAATCCTACCCCAGACCACACCTGTACTGCCACCCTTCCCCACAACCCATGACACATTCCTAGTTAGACCTATACCATGTCCTACAAAGGCCCATAACACAGACCAAGCTCAGCCAGAAGCTGAACTGTCACCATAGTTCTGAGTGACCACAGTGTCAACAACAATGGTATAGGTCTTGACATGATGTCATCAAAACCCTAAGGAGCCAGTGAACAAGCAGGACAATGTAACCAATGGAAGAAAGAACCATCAACTACAACCAACCCCAAATTCAAACACAGGTTGGATCTAGCGAACAAGGTCACTCGAGCCTTGTTATTCTCGGAATGGTATTCCATATGTTCGGAGAGCTAGAGGGAAGAGTGGCCATGTCAAGTAGAAATGTGAGAGATAGTGAAAACACAGAAAAGAAACCCAAACTGACATTACAGAGATTGAAACGCCAATACCTGAGACAGAATTAACGACAGATTAAACCATGTACATGAAAGGTCAGTGAAGTCAGAGACACAGCAACAGAAACTTCCCAAAACGGAAAAGCAGAGACCTGTGACACATGAGACTGGGGCCTGCAGGGAGAGCAGGGACGAGGAGTCTCAGAGACGCAGCAACAGGAACCCCCAAAATGGAAAAACAGAGAAAAGACACTTACAAAAACAAACAGAGCCTCCCTGCATGCTGGGACAATGCTGCGTCAGACCTAAGACATGTGAGACTGGAGGCTGCAGAGAGAGCAGGGACGAAAAGTCTTCCAGGAACAATGCCCAGGTATGGTCCACATTTGTTAAGAACAGCAGATCTACCCAACCTCAGCAGACTACACCTCTTGTCAAGTGAGCCTGGAACACTGACAAACACAGACCTTATTCAGGACCATCAGAACATGCCAGTAAATTCAAAAGGGTTCAAGTCATAGGAAATATTTTCTCTGATGACAACTGAATAAAATTAGAAATCAGTAACAGAAAGATATCTGGAAAAGCCCCAAGTACTCGGAAATTATCACACTTCTGAACAACCCACAAGTGAAAGAAGAATCAGAAAGGTAATCAGAATGCATTTTAAAGTCACTGAAAAGATAAACTTACAGTACTAACCACCTATAACTGGGGGAGAGGGGCTCAATGATCTCAGTTTCCATCTTAAGAAACCAAAACAAGTCACCTAAGGCGGAAAAGCTAGGGAAAGAAGAGAAAAAGCTGGCAGGGGGGCCGGTGGAGGAAGCAGAGGCAGGGATCCAGGTAAGGCTGGGGAACCAGGCTATGCCCCTCCGAAGCGGCGGGAAAGAGACAGGGATCTGTGTAATACAAGAGGAGGGTGGAGAGGTTTTGAACAGCTAAGGGAGATGAACTTGTCTGTCAGTATGTCCTACTGTGGTGGCGTGTTGCTGTGAGGCTTGAGTCTGTGCCACCAGTGACTCAAACCTAGTAGGGCTGCACATGGTGCACAGGTTTCAATAGCTTACAGACTGAGACAGACCAGGAAGAAGGAAGAGGCCATCCACTTTCAAAGAATTGGCCAGGGAGAACCTTATGAATAGCAGAGATACACTGTCTGATACATTACTGTGCAACTTTATAAATAGCCTGGAAACATCATCCAAATCAGTGCAGGACAATAAGCCACCTGGATCGGAAGGCTCTCAAAATAGGACCAGGAAAGAGCTGCATCATCAGAGTAGAACCAGCCTTACTCATATGGATAAGGTAAAGCTTTTGAGACCTCCATTTGCTGACATGGCATGACTCAAATTGAAGAGAAACAGCTGCAAATGTCCACTAATAATCGGAACATAGAATGTATGAAGCATGAATCTAGGAAAATTGGAAGTTGTCAAAAATAAAATGGAGCACCTGAAGATTGATATCCTAGGCATTAATGAGCTGAAATGGACTGGTTTTGGCCATTTTGAATCAGACAACCATGTGGTCTACTATGCCAGGAATGACAATTTGAAGAGGAATGGTGTGGCGTTCATCATCACAAAGGATGTTTCAAGATCTGTCCTGAAGTACAGTGCTGTCAGTAATAGGATAATATCCATATGCCTACAAGGAAGACCAGTTAACACTAATATTATTCAAATTTATGCACCAACCACCAAAGCAAAAGATGAGGAAATTGAAGATTTTTATCACCTTCTGCAGTCTGAAATTGACCAAATATGCAATCAGGATATGTTAATTAACACTGGTGACTGGAATGGGAAGTTAGAAACAAAGAAGAATCACCAGTAGTAGGAAAATTTGGCCCTGGTGACAGAAATGATGTTGGAAATTGCATGATAGAATTTTGCGAGACCAATGACTTATTCATTGCAAATACCTTTTTTCAACGACACAAACAACAGCTATACAAGTGGACATCGCCAGATGGAATACACAGGAATCAGAATGATTACATCTGTGGTAAGAGGCAATGGAAAAGCTCAGTATCTTCAGCCAAAACCAGGCCAGAAGCTGATTGTGGAACAGACCATCAACTGCTCGTAAGCAAGTTCAACTCAAAGTTAAAGACAGTTCAAACAAGTCCACGAGAGCCAAAATATGACCTTGAATAAATCCCTCCTGAATTTAGAGACCATCTAAAGAACAGATTTGATGCATTGAACACCAGTCACTGAAAACCAGAAGAACTGTTGGATGATGTTCTGGTTCCCTGGTGCCGCTCTGACACGAATATACTACAATTGGGATGTTAACAAACAGGAGTTTGTTATGTTACAGTTTGGAGGCTTTAAGTCCAAGTTCAAAGGGCCAGGCTCTAGGGGCTGGGTGAAAGCCCCTCAACCTTGGAGTCCAGCTCTGCCTCCTGCTCCTGGCCCACTGGAGCTGGAGGCTTTTCTTCACTCAAACAGCTGCTGGCTGCTGATGCTGGGAAGCCCAAGATTGCCAAGTAAAAAGGCACAGTCCCAATGTTACCAAACCACATGGCAGGCCATTAACTTAAGTCCATTGTAAGTCCCAAGGTCGGCAGAGCATGGCAGGCTGCTGAGCAACGACATGGATACATGCAGGGTCCAAGCGTCCCATAAGCTAGAGACCATTCCCAAAGCTGCTTCTTATATACAGGAAGCAGACCACATACCCAAAGCAGCTACTCAGCTGCTTGTGGTAAATTCCACCATGGAGTTGCCTGCCAGTCTCATGGTAGGGAATAACTACCACCAGCCACTCAACCAGGCCCGGCCAAGTTGACGCACAAACATAACCACCACAGATGACATCAAGCACATCATCCGTGAAGAAAGCAAGAGGTCACTAAAAAGACGAGAAAAGAAGAAAAGACCAAAATGGATGTCAGAAGAGACTACGAAACTTGCCCTTGAGTGGAAAGTAGCTAAAGCAAATGGAAGAAATGGCAAGATAAAAGAGCTGAACAGAAGATTTCAAAGAGTAGCTCGAGTGGACAAAGCCAATTACTATAATGAAATGTGCAAAGACCTGGAGTTAGGAAACCAAAAGGGAAGAACACACTCAGCATTTCTCAAGCTGAAAGAACTGAGGGAAAAATTTAAGCCTCGAGTTGTAATATTGAAAGATTCTATGGGAAAAATATTGAATGATGCAGGAAACATTGTACCAAAAAGAACTGGTAGATCTTCATCCATTTCAGGAGGTGCCGTATGATCAAGAACCAATGGTACTGAAGGAAGAAGTCAAAGCTGCACTGAGGGAACTGGCGAAGAACAAGGCTCCAGGAATTGACGGAATACCCATTGAGATATTTCAACAAACAGATGTCCCACTAGAGGCACTCACTCGGTTATGCTAAGAGATTTGGAAGACAGCTACCTGGCCAACTGACTAGAAGAGATCCATATTTGTACCCATTCCAAAGAAAGGTGATCCCACAGAACGTGGAAATGATAGAACAATATCATTAATATCGCACGCAAGTAAGATCTTACTGAAGATAATTCAAAAACAGTTGCAGCAGTATATTGACAGAGAACTTCCACAAATACAAGCTGGATTCAGAAGAGGACGTGGAACAGGGGATATCATAGCTGCTGTCAGATGGATCCTGGCTCAAAGCAAAGAATACCAGAAAGATGTTTACTTGTGTTTTAGTGACTATGCAAAGGCATTTGATTGTGTAGATCATAACAAATTGTGGATGACATTGAGAATAATGGGAATTCCAGAACAAAACTGTGCTCATGAGGAACCCATACATTGACCAGGAGGCTGTTGTTTGAACAGAACAAGGGGACACTGTATGGTTTAAAATCAAGAAGGGAGTGCATCAGGGTTGCATCCTTTCCCCATACTTATTCAATCTGTATGCCGAGCAAATAATCTGAGAAGCTGGACTATATGAAGAAAAAGGTGGCATCAATATTGAAGAAAGAATTATTAACAACCTGAAATACGCTGACGACACAACTTTGCTTGCTGAAAGTGAGGATGACTTGAGGCACTTACTGATGAAAATTGAAGAATACAGTGTGCAGTATGGATTATATCTCAATATAAAGAAAACAAAAATCCTCACAACTGAACCAATAAGCAGCATCACGATAAATGGAGAAAAGATAAAAGTTGTCAAAGACTTCATATTGCTTGGTTCTACAATCAATGCCAATGGAAGCAGCAGTCAGGACATTAGACGACGTATAGCACTGGGCAAGTTGGCTGCAAGGGACCTCTTTCAAGTGCTGAGGAGCAAGGATTTCTCCTTGAGGACTAAGATGTGCCTGACACAAGCCATGATATTTTCAGTCACCTCATATGCATGTGAGAGCTGGACAATGAATAAGGAAGACTGAAGAAGAGTTGATGATTTTGAGTTGTGGTATTGGCAAAGAATGCTGAAAGTACCATGGACTACCAAAATAACTAACAAATCTGTCCTGGAAAAAGTGCAGCCGGAATGCTCCTTGGAAGCTAGAATGGCCAGACTTCGTCTCATCTACTTTGGTCATGTTGTCAGAAAGGGACCATTCCCTGGAGAAGGATGTCATGCTTGGTAAGGTGGAGGGTCGACAAAAGAGGGGAAGACCCTCAACAAGATGGATTGACACAGTAGCTGCAACGATGGGCTCAAGTACAGCAAGCATAATGGAAGTGGTGCGAGACCGGGCAGTGTTTCGTTCTGTTATGCACAGGGTCACTATGAGTCAGACACGACTCGACGGCATCTAACAACAAGAAGGAGCCATACTGGTCTCTTCTCATCCAGAGCAAAGAAAAGTGAAGATAATCAAAGATACATGAAAACAATTAGTCCAAAGGACTAATGGACCACGTGAACCCCAGCCTCCATCACCCTGAGACAAGAACAGTATGGTGCCTGCTACCACTGCTGACTGCTCTGAAAGGGATCACAGTAGGAGGTTCTAGTAGGAGTGGAGAGACATATGGAACAAAACTCAAAATCATAAAAAGACCAGGCTTACTTGTCTGTTAGAGACTGGTAAAGCTCCTAAATTATGGCCCTTAGACACCCTTCGAGACTGGAACTGAACTTACCCCTGTGGTTCACCTTTCAGCCAAACAACAGACAGACCTATGAACAATAACACCAGGAAGTACCTACGAAGTGAATAGTAACACCAGGGAAGTATTAATTCCTCAGGACAATCAACCACTCAAGATCAAATGGGCAGCATCTGACCAGGGATAAAGCTCAGAAGGAAGAAAAGGGACAGGAAAGATGGATGGATGAAAACTGGAAACACTAAACCTAGGGAGGAAACAGGACAAGAGCCATTACCTTGTGGGGACTGCAGTCAATGCCATGAAGCACAATGTGTATCAGCTGTTCAATGGAAAACCAATTTACTCTGTAAACTTCCACCCAAATCCCAATTTAAAAAAAAAAAAAAGTCATCAGAAAAAAAGAAATAATAAAGATCAAAGTAAATTCAATGAAATAAAAAAGAGAAAGATGACAGATAAAAATCAGTGGAATAAAAAGCTGTTTCTTTGAACAGATCAATGCAGTCGATAAGCTTCTGAGCAGATGGATCGGGAACAAACAGAGACGTGAAAAGAGTAATAGAAGTACTATGAAAAACTTTATGCCATCAGAATCACAGATAAAACAGACAAATTCTATGGAAGACACCAACTACCCAAGCAACCTCAACACTAGAATTAGCAGTGAGTTATTTTACCCTTGTAGCCTGGGAGGAAGAGGAGTTTTGGTGACTCAGTGGTTAAAGCACTGGGCTGCTAACACAAAGGTCAGTGGTTCAAACCCACCAGTCATTCCGCAGGAGAAAGATGTGGCAGTCTGCTTCCATAAAAATTACAGCCTTGGAAACCTTATGGGGCAGTTCTGCTCTGTCCACTTGGGGTGCTGTCAGAACTGACTTGAATGGCAGTGGGTTTTTTAACTTAGGGGAAAAAGTGGCAGATTCTCCACATAAAATATATGTGCAAATATTAATAATCAAAATATATAAAAAGGGATGGAACTAGCAAAGACCTGACGAAGCACCCAAGTTGTTAGATGCTAGGGAGAACGGGAGGGACACTGAAAATCCAGACGGCACATCTGGTCAGATGCTCTTCCTGGGAAGGAGGCCAAATGTCCCATTTTCAAAAAATCCTGTCCATGCTGGTTATGGAGAAATGTACTTTCTGTAAGGTCTGCAAAGAAGGAGCTCCAGCCAGATCCATCCAGAAGACAGATGATGGCAGAAAAAATGTACCCAGCATGATCCCTTATCATTTAAAGCAAATAAATCATTTCATAAAATCAGGCCTGCTTTATTAATTAGTGTTGGAAGGGATTAACTAAGACAAACCAAAAGTGAATTAATTTCCCAAGTTCTTAAATTTTTAAGTAATTTGATGTGGTTTCTACACACTGCAGCTGGGGATGTTAAATATGCACGGCCTGACCCGATTTCTCAGCTACCCCTCACACTCATCTCACACACAATCTTGTGATAACTCCAACTCAGAAAAGACTTCTTCACTGAAAGGGAAGAGGTGGCAGTCACTTCCAATCTGGGGCCTCACTCTGAGGAGCCCGGTGCCCTGATGGCATGCGAAGACAAGCTGTCACACGGCAGGAAGGCAGGGTTCTGGCTTGTGGCTATTCCCTGCACACAGCAAGTCCTCCAGGACAACATGAATAAGGTATGACGGTGTGAAGAACCATGACTCCCCAAGACACTGCTAACTCCCAAGTTCCCATCCTGGGACCTGCCATCACCTCTTCAAAGGCTGTGGAGGTATTCAGCTCAATGAGACTTGATCGATTAGTTGATTACATCCATCAATGTAAAGTACCAAAAGTGCTGACACCTGCTCCAATCACACTTTTGCCTTCGCACACTTAAGTCACACTTAAATCCTTTGGGCCTCACAGGAGGAGAACGGCAGAAGCCAGTCTGGGGGCATCTAAATCAAAGACAACATAATGTTGTGAGATAAATTTTAAAAGCTTACCTTATAACCAGGAAACAGCTGGCTCTGTTACCAACAGCAAAGTAGTCGGCTGTGGTCAAAATGTCAATTCCATGAGGGAAAGTCCCCTAATTAAAACAAGTGAAATGGGGAAAAGAGGAAAGATCATTTGAGTGGCAGCCTGCACACACACCACAGTTACGAGCAAAGAGGCTGATGCTGGACAGAGAAAGTGCTGGTTCCCGCTCCCATGACACATCCCCACTCGGTGCCAGACTGAGGCAGTTCCAGGTCATAGACACGCTCACTTGCTGTCGAGTTGGACTCGACTCATAGCAACCCATCCTTGGGTTTCCGAGGCAGTATCACTACGGAAGTAGGTTGCCCAACCTTCCTTCCGAGGAGTGGTTGGTAGGTTTGAACCGCCAGCCTTCTGGTTAGCAGTCAAATGCCTTAGGCACTACGCCACCACAACAGCCATGCTAAATCCTAAATCCCTTTAAAACATTTAAGTTGTTCAAACAACTCAATGCTTTCAACTTTAAAACATCCTAAGAGACTTTCTTTACTACACCCCCACCCCAATAGAGTCACCAGGTTCCAACAGCATGAAAACCACGGACGTTGGGGTCCCCAGTGCCCTGCCCAGCAGGGACTTCTACGCGTGTGCTTGCAGAGGAGGTTGCAGTGGAACCCAGGACCCGTCTGGTCCAGAGCCTGGGCAGGAACCCACCCTTTACACAGCACCTGTGAGGGTGAAACCACTCAGCAGGGACCCACCTGGCACCCGTGAGCCCTGAGGACAACCAGCAAATGCCCAGACTTAGATGGGGTGTGGCACCTCCACCTGCACCCTCGGACCATCCAGCCACCCGGTTCAGCCCCGCCCCACCCGGCTTATTATTAGTACTACCACCCACTGATGAACGTGTCTGTAAAGCCAGAAAGAAATTTAATATTTCTAAGAAAACAGAAATGACAGAATTTTAACCAAGTAGTAGAAAGCTTACAACTATCGACCATAGAAGAAATTACGATGAGATCTCAAGGTGAGATGCACCAGGTGGTGCATCAGGAAGCCTGTTCATTCCTTCTTTCAAGAACCATAGGTAATTCCCAGGCCACACGAGGGAAGCTGGTGGAGGCTCCTGGCCGAGAGCTGGCAGAAGCAGAGTGCAGAAAAAAGCACTCAGCCACCAATACCTCCAACCAGCCTTCTGTCCCTCACACAACGGAAGATCTACGCAGCCGCATGCTGTTTGCACAGCCCGCTGACAGGGGCTCCACAGGCACCTCAGCCATTGCCGCCAGCATGGCCATATCAGGCGCTGCCACAACACTTGGGCAGCACACAGAACCAACCTGGGAAAACTGACACGATCTACACAGAAGAGGCAATGCCACATTCCCTGTGGAATCCCAGACATGTAACATTAAAACAACGTCAACAGTGGTGGTCTGGTCCTCAGTCTACATGTAAAAGCCGACAGAGCACAGCTGAGTGCAGGCGCGGTACCCACTCCACCACCCTGAATTCAGACAGCTACTCAGTCCACTCCATCACCCTGAATTCAGACACTACTCGGTTAAGCTCCTAACCATGGAATCCACTCCGCCACCCTGAATTCAGACAGCTACTCAGTCCACTCCGCCACCCTGAATTCAGACAGCTACTCAGTCCACTCCATCACCCTGAATTCAGACACCACTCGGTTAAGCTCCTAACAGGGAGGACCTGGGCTAACAGCTACTGTCTCATGCTAAGTTCACCCTCTGGGCTCCTCAAGCACAAAGTCTGATGAAGGCCCCGCCCACAGCCAATGAGCTGTGCACCTCTGGTTTCCTGCTGTCCCCAACCCCTGCCCCAAAGCTACCTGTCTCCCCAGGCCCCAAATCCCAATCATCAGAGCCCCATTTTCATTAGCATTAGCATTTGTTCTGGCCTGAGATCACTAAACCTCACACCACCCAGTACAAGGCCTCCCCTGCTGGGAACACGCTGTCCAAAAATCCTGGCGACACCACCAGCCAGCCATGTCTGGGTTCCTCCTCACTGTGTCATCACTTGTTCTTATGTGACTATGAGTCACAGTCTCCCCAGGTATCTCTCACTCCACAGGAACCCCCATGAGCACAGGAGGTGACAGGAGGGGGAATCGGGACAAGCAGTACCGAGCTTGGAGCTCAGGAGCCCAGCGGGAAGCCCACAGCCTAGGACCACACATGGCCTCAGGACAGACACGCCCCAGCCCTGCACATCTCACTCCAGGCCAGGCATCTGAGATCCTACTTTAGATCCCGACATCCACTGTCCAAATGTACCATTCATGGTGTGCCTCATCACTGGCACATGGGGCTCCAGGTTCTGGGAAGGTAGACAGTGCCTCAGCTCCTGGGAGGACGGGTGGGACCCTGGCTCCTGGAGGCCCAAGCACACGCACACACACATCTCTGCATTCTTGCTGTCAGGCTCCCTCTGTGCAGCCAGGGTACCAGGAGAGGCTGCAGGCGGTGCCCACATGAAATCTACCCAAGAGTCCCAGGATGCTCCCCATGCAGGAGTTGTCACATGGAGTGCCATCACTGTCTGGGGACAGGGACTATGCCTTGGCACCAAGGTAATCCTGAGCACCTACTGAGGAGGCCATGCGGCAGTGGGAGAAGGCAACAGGGGCGGGTGGCAGAGGTGCCCTGCAGGGAAGGACCTTGGCATGAGGTGTCTGTGGGGGGGCCAGGAGTCTGCAGGGAGAGTGTCTTGCTACTCTGAGCACTCCAGGAGTCAGCACTGTACATCACTCCAGAGTGCACACACCGGAGCCATTCCCATGCTCAACAGAGGGGCCACGTGCCCCCTTGGACTGGACTCCACACTGTCTTCTCCCCTCAGGGTGGCAACGAGGCTCTGCCGACAACGTCGCCCAAGGCTTTGCTGTCCCAGTGGCCGGTGATGCCACAGTCCAGCTGAGCAGTTCACGACAGGTTCCTTCTTTGATGGCAGTCAGCCATGCGCCCCCTCAGAGGCTCATCTCTGCCTGGACCCCTCACTTCTTCCTGGTTCACTGCTCCCAAAGCCACAGGTGGCATGCCTTCTAGAGTTTCTGCATCACTGCTCTGACACTGAGAACCTTCTTTGTCCTTCAGGAGTAGCTCAAGATAGCCATCTTCCACCACATGGACGAATCTCCCTATTAAACACTGCACCGCAGATTACAGAAGTCCCAGGTGCTGCCAGACGGAAGGCTGGCTCCATATCAAGGAACCGTATCCTCTGAGGACCCTGGCCAGTCCCCCCCTCCGAGCCACCAAAGCAATCACCGTCCTCCCTGCACACCTCAGTATTCCTCCAGAGCCACTGCAGTGAAACACACAGAACGCCTCATGGACTTCAGTTCCACCTACCCTCAAGACGAGAATCCCTGGGTGGTGGAAATGGTCAACACACTTGACTGCTAATTAAGAGGCTGAAGGATCAAGGCTTCTCAGAGGCACCTCTGAGGAAAGGCCTGGAGACCTGCTTCTAGAAGTCACAGCCTTGGAAACCCCAGCAAGTTCATTTCTACTTGGCACACCTGGGACACCAGGTGTTTGAGCTGCCTTGGCAGCAAGTGATTTAAAATTAGGGGTAATAACCAGGAAAGCCAAAGGAACTGGGATAAAACCCACTGCCGACGTTCACACCTGACCCGTGTGTGCAGGGCCACTCACATATTGGGGTTCCCTGGAGGTCCCCCTGCCCACTGCAGGTGCTGACACCTGACCCGCATGTGCAGGGCCACTCACATATTTGGGCTCCCTGGAGAACCCACTGCCCACTGACCTGTGTGTGCAGGGTCCCCCACAGATGACGTTCACTGGAGGACCCACTGCCTACTGCCGACGCTGACACCTAACCCGTATGTGCAGGTGACCTGCACATCACATTCCCCAGAGGACCCACTGTCCAGTGTTTACCGTGTTGACACTCCTGAGTCCTATTAGGAGTGAACCCACAATCAGCAGTTGCTGAATGAAGTATGCCCCTACTCTGGGATAAACCCTGACCCATGTCAGACAAGCAGTATCTGAAGTGGGCGGTTTTCAGTGCTCCTACCTCTGCATCTGCAGGAAGTTTTAGGAGCGAAGACTTGAAAGCAGCCTTACCTGTCTGCCCACATTCTCCTGGAAAGCAGCCTAGGGATGGAAGAACAAATGAAGCAAGGTGAGTTAGGTTTGCTTTGTGCTAAACATCAGAAGATAAATTCAAAACAAACACAGTGCAGTATCAATGACCCGTGGCTTTACTTTTCAAACAGAAGCCCTCACTGTTAGTCGGACAGAGCCTCAGGGGTATCTGTCACCCTGCTCTGTGTGCTAGTGCTCTGAGACTGGTGTACAGCATGGTGACTGTTCCGGGGTGCAGGCCTATAGTCAGACACGTCCTCAGAGCAGCTCATACATCTACACTCAGGGCTCTGGAACTGTAAACACCAAACCAACACCCAAGCACTTCTTCTTGGTAAACCCTGAGCTGGGGTGTGTGCACAGCCCCCCAGAGAAAGCACACTGGCTGGTGATCAGTGATGCCAGTGGTGGCACAAATAAGCACTCAGGCGGAGACTCAAGCCCCAGGCTGCACACAGGGCAGGATGTGCACAGGCCACCAGGTGACACAGACACAGCTCAGAGGCCCCAGGTGCACTCGTTACATGGCTGCTCCCTCTCCCTAGTGGCATCACTCCCTGCAACCCAACTGTGCCCTGCGTGGGTGTGACCACAGGTCAGAATGGACTTACAGGCTGGTGTGTGCTGCGGACAACACCTACTTCCTGTTTACCAGCTTGCTGGCCTACCAGCCTCACTCCCTAAGAGCAACATGCCCCTCGACAGGTGGGGGACATCTGACATTGCCATCATATGAGTGTCAAACACAGCCCCACACACAAGCATGCTGCTGCTACACATAGTCGGAGCAGGTAGGGAACAGCACACGTGAGGGGTCAATGGTGGAAGCCAGGACCCAGGGCTGCAGAGGCCAGTGAGCAGGGGCTGGAAAGGCCATATGCTGGAAAGAGCTGGCGCAGAGCCAGAGAAGCCTCACCCTGCTGCGAACTGAGCCAACCCGGCAGAGCTCCCTGAGAGCAAGCTAGGGTCTCCAGATTCCTCCTCTACCGCAGGGCCGCAGAGGGCAACAGGACAACGAGCAAAAATAAATCAACAGCAACACTCAGACCCCAGAGTCAGCTCTCCCGCACACGGCATCCCCACACATCCCCAGCCGGTTATATAGAGAACCAGAAGCACAGGTCGTCCCAAGGACACAGGGAGATGGCACCTCGGGAACAAGGCTAACGTGGCTTTTAACTAGAGGCTGGGAGTGGAGCTGGGAGAGTCGGTTCGTGAGTATCCAAGGGTGTGTGACAGAACTAAAGGCTCAGATCCATCATGGCAGAGGCTGGTGAATTTGTAAAACAACCTATCACCTCTTCCCTGGGCTCCTAAAAAGCATGCCCTGCTCTTACTAACGTTTCCCATGAAAGCTTTCTTCCTTACAGTTACAGAAAGGAAAGCCACAGTGTTACACCTAAGGGCAGATGTCACCAACCCTTCGTCCACTGGCCCAAGCCCTTCCATTGCTGCTTCTGGATAAACACAGGGCAAGTGTGGGAAGACTCAATAAGAAACCATTCTTTGGGCTTTCCACCGAGAGCACACACGGTGGCAGGTGGCCTCCAAGCTCCTGGCCAGCGCTCTCCACACGGGAAAACGTAAAGGCTGAGGCAGAGTAAGACTGACACCCTAATGCCTTGTGGGTGTAGAGAGCAGGCAGAGGACCTTGGCACCTCCGAGCCAAGAAGACCTCTGATATTGTGTGACTGACATCCTCACTTCAGAGAGGAAAGCTATCTTCACTGCCCACACACCAGAGGACACACAACTAACACTGACACAACTGGGTCCTGACTCCTAAGCCCTTGTTCCTTCCCCGGTTCCCAAACAGCAGTCACTGCACAACACTCTGGCACTCCACCAGCCACTGTGCCAGGCCCTGAGACTGAGAAGGACACTTGAGAGGCTGCACACAGGGAGCTGTTGCCACAGCTCTGGAACCAGATGGGGAACAGATACAGAATAAGCAGAAACTCCCCATGCATGATGTGAGAGCAGAAACAGAATACTGGGACAGAAAACAGGAAGATGGTGGACAGGTACCACCTGCTCAAGTCCCACCTACACATTCAGTGACTTGGATGAGGTGGAGAAATTCCTTGACAGAGGAAAAACAGAAAAGCTGAACAGATGATATGAGGAAGGAAATTCACTAACTAAAAATCTTTCCACCAAGAAAAGCCCACTCGAGGGGTTTGGTCGTGAGTCCTGGCAAACATTCCAAGTAGAAACGATGTGAATCTTTTCAAAGTCTTCTAGCAAACAGACGACAAGGGAACACTTCCCACCCCATCCTGTGAAGCCAGCAATACCCCGACACCAAAGCCACATGAAAAGGTCACAGCATAAGAAACTACAGTTCAGTGTCCCTCATGGACACAGACTCAAACATCCTCAAGAAAACACTGGCAAGCAAACCCATTTGCACATAAAACAGGGTACGCACCCAGATGAAGCAGGGTTTCTGCGGGAGTGCCAGGCCAGCTTGATGTTCAGAGTCCATCAACACACTGCACCAACACAGTAACTGACAAAACCACAGATCCGGAAAAGCATTTGACCAAATCCAACAGCATTCGTGATGAAACACCCAGTTATGAGAAAAGTTCTCAACAAAGTAGCAACAGATGGCAACTCGCTCAATCTGCTAAAGGGCACCTACAGTACAAAAAGGGTGTGGGGGCAGCGTGAGGCCCCTTCCAACCTCACGAGGAGGGGAAGGATCAAGGCCGACAGCCCAAGTCAGACATGCCTCCCTCTGCCAACCTTTTTACCAACTCTGGCAGCAACTGTCCCTCCCACAGCACTCTCTACTTCTCTGCCGGGTTCAATTAATTCATTGCGATGGCTGAACAGAACTCATAGACAATACTCACCATTATGGGGAAGTAACTGGTTGTAATTTAGGATCAAAAACAACTCAGGATACAGTTCTTCAGTCAGGACAGCTTCCTCTCAGCCTTGGTCTCTCCACCCTGTGGCCCCTTGGCCTCTGTCCTCCTTGGGCACAGGCTACAGCTCTTTACAGATGAGCCCCAGAGGCTTTCTCAGCTTTCTGCTGTTGTAGGTTGTTAACGAGTCTTCCCCTCCAATCCTGATGTTGTCTCGTTCTTCAGATAGTCCAGATTCTAAGATTATTTGCACAGCATACTGATTGAATAAATTTGGGGGAAGGATACAATCCTGACACACGCTTTTCCTGATTTTAAACCATGTAGTAGTATCTCCTTGTTCTGGCAGAAAGATTGCATGAACACAATGAACTGTTCTAGAATTTTGATTCTTCACAATGTTATCCATAATTTGTTATGAGCCACACAGTTGGATGCCTTCACACAGTTAATAGAACACAGGTGAATGTATTTCTGGTATTCCCTGTGTTCTGCCAAGACCCTTCTGATGTCAGCAATGACACCCCTGGTTCTATAGCCTCTTCTGAATCCAGCTTGAATTTCTTGCTATACTTAAGCCCATTGTCTCAGTCACTGTGTCAATCCATCTTGTTGAGGGTCTTCCCCTCTTTTGCGGACCCTCTTCTTTACCAAGCATGATATCCTTCTCCAGGAACCAGTCCCTTCTGACAATATGACCAAAGGAGATGAGACAAACTCTGGCCATTCTCACTTCCAAGAAGCATTCCAGCTGAATTGCTTCCAAAACAGATTTGTTTACTTTTCTGGCAGTCCACGGTATTTTCAGTATTCTTCACAAGCACCATGATTCAAAGGCATCAATTCTTCTTTGGTCTTTATTCACTGTCCAGTTTTTACATACATACGAGGCTACTGAAAATATACCATGGTTTGAGTTAGGTGTGCCTTACTCTTCAAAGTGACATCTTTGCTCTTAAACACTTTAAAGAGATCTTTTGCAGCAGATTTTCCCAGTGCGATATGTCATCTTATTTCTTGACTGCTGCTTCCACAGAGGTTGATTGTGGATCCAAGTAAAATGAAATCCCTGACAACTTCAATCTTTTCTCCACTTTCCATGATGTTGTTTACTGGTCCAATTGTGAGGATTTTTGTCTCCTTTATGTTGAGGTGTAATCTATACTGAAGATCATAGTCTCTGACCTTCATCCACAAATGCTTCAAGTTTTCTTCCCCCTCACCAAGCAAGGTTGTGTCATCTACGTATCGCAGGTTGTTAAAGAGTGTTCCTTCAATCCTGATGCCACATTCTTCTACATACAGTCCAGCTTCTCACATTATTTGCTCAGCTCACAGAGTGAATAAGTTTGGCAAAAGGATACAACTCGTACACACACTCTTCCTGATTTTAAACCACACACTGTCCCCTTGTCCTGTTCAAAAAACTGTCTCTTGGTCTATGTACAGGATCCTCATGAGCACAATGAAGCGTTCTGGAATTCCCATTCTTCACAATGATAGCCACAATTTGTTATGAACCACACAGTCGAGTGCCTTTGCATAATTAATAAAACACAGGCAATTATCTTTTTGTATTCCCTATGTTCAGGTAGCATAGTGGCTAAAGCACTTGACTGCTAAACAGAAGGCTGGCGATTCAAACCCACCAGCCACTCCTCGGAAGGAAGGTTGGGCAATCCTACTTCCGTAGTGATACTGCCTCGGAAACCCAAGGAGGGGTCACTATGAGTCGGGGCCGACTCGACGGCACATAACAACAACAACAACAACATGTTCAGCCAAGATCAGACATCAGCAATGATATTCTTCGTTCCACGCCCTCTTCTGAATCCAGGATGAATTTCTGGCAGTTCCCTGTTGATGTAACACTACAACTATTTTGGAGTTATTTTCAGCAAAATTTTACTTGCGTATGATATCAATGATGTGGTTCTATAATTTCTGCATTCTGTTGAATCACCTTTCTTTGGCATGAGCACGGACAGAGATCTCTTTCAGTCTATTGGTGAGGTAGCTGTCTTCCAAATTTCTTGGCATAAATAAGTATGCATCTCCAGTGCTGCATCCGTTTGTTGGAACAACTCAATGGGCATTCCATCAACTCCTGGAGCCTTTTCACCAACAACCTCAGTGCAGCATGGACGTTTTAGTACATTTCTCAGAAGGAAGACTGGACAATCCACTTCCATAGTGATACTGCCTTGGAAACCCAAGGAGGGGTTGCTATGAGTTGGATCCGACTCGATGGCGGTGTGTTTGGTTTAGCTCTGTGTATTCCTTCCATCTCCTTCTAATCCTTCCTATGTAATTGAGCATTTGGCTCATAGAACCTTTCAATTTTAATACTGCAACTCGAGGCTTGAATTTTTTCTCCAGCTCTTTCCACTTGAGAAACACGGAGCGTGTTCTTCCCTTTGGGTTTTCTGACTCCAGCTCTTTGCACATCTCATTACGACACTTCACTTCTCAAGCCACCATTTGAAATCTTCTGTTCACTTCCTTCCATTCGCTTTAGCTCCTCTCTGTTCAAGGCAGGTTTCAGAGTCTCTTCTGACATCGCTTTTGGTCTTTTCTCTCTTTCCTGTCTTTTTAAGGACCTTGTTGCTTTCCCTACATATACCCTTGATGTCATCCCATAACTCATCTGGTTTTTAGTCACTGGTGTTCAATGTGTCAAATCTATTCTTGAGATGGTCTCTAAATTCAGGTGGCAGGTAATCAAGGTTGTATTTTGATTCTCATGGACTTTTTTAAATTTCTTTCAGCTTCAACTTGAACTCACATATGAGCAACTGATGGTCCATTACACATTCAGTCCCTGGCCTTGTTTTGACTGATGATACTGACCTGCTCCATCACAGATGTGTAGGCTTGATTCCTGTGTATTTATTGTTGCCATTTGTTGAAAAAAAGGTTATTTTCAGTGAACATGTTTGTTGATCTTACAAAATTGTATCATGCAACCTCCCACATTGTTTCTTTCACCAAGGTCATATTTTCCAACTACTGACCCTTCTTTTTTGTTCCCACCTTTCACATTTCAATCACTAGTAATTATCAATGCATCTTGATTGCATGTTTGATCAATTTCTGGCTGCAGAAGTTGGTAAAAATCATCAATTTCTTCATCTATGGCATTAGTGGCTGGTGCATGAATTTGAGTAATAGTCCTATTAAGTGGTCTTCCTTATAAATGTATGGATATTTCCTACCACTGACAGCTTTGTACTTCAGGATAGATCTTGAAGTGTTCTTTTTGATGAAGAAAGTTATGCCATTCCTCTTCAGTTTGTCATTCCTGGCATAGTAGACCTTATGATTACCAATTCAAAATGGCCAATACCAGCCCATTTTAGCTCACTAATGCCTAGAATATCAATCTATATGCATTCCATCCCATTTTTGACAACTTCTAATTTTCCTAGATTCATAGTCCATGCATTCCATATTCTAATTATTAACGAGGAGCTCTGGTAGCGAAGTGCCTAAGGCACTTGAATGCTAACCAGAAGGCTGGCGGTTCAAACCCACCAGCCACTCCCCAGAAGGAAGGCTGGGCAATCTACTCCGAAGTGATACTGCCTCGGAAACCCAAGGAGGGGTCTCTAGGAGTCAGGTCCAACTTGATAGCACATAACAACAACAACAATTATTAATGAATTTTTGTGGTTGTTTCTTCCCATTTGAGTTGTGCCACATCAGCAAATGAAGGTCCTGAAAGAGTCACTCCATGCACATCATTCAGGCTGGCTCTACTTTGAGGGGGAAACTCTTTCCCACTTATATTTCGAGGGGCTCACCCTCCAGTACTCCTATCAGACAATGTTCCACTGCTATTCATAAGGTTTTCATTGGCCAATTTGTTAGAAGTAGATTGCCAGGATCTCCTTCCTAGTCTGTCTTAGTCTGGAAGCTCCACGGAAACCTGTCTACCATGGGTGATGCTGGTGGTACTTGAAATACCACTGACATAGCTTCCAGCATCACAGGAGCATGCAAGTCACCACAGTATAATATGCTGACAGATGAGCAGCAGACTTACACACTTGAAAACTGCAAATCATCACTGAAAGAAAGATCTAAATACATTGAGAGACGTTCCATGTTCATGGTTAGAAGATTCAGTATTATTAAGATGCACTCTACGTAACTTGATATATAGATTCATTGTTGTTTCTATCAAAAACATCAGCAGGATAGTTTTGGAAACAACCATGAATCTTGCTAGACACCTATATGTCGAGAACCATCACTGGACTCTCCAGGTTGGGCCAGGTATCTGATGGCTAAAGTGAAGTGTCAACTTGGCTGGGCCATGATTCTCCATGCTTTGACAGTTATGTAATGATGTAGCTAGCCTCCATTTTGTGATATAATGTAATCCCTCCATGATGTGATCTGATGTGATCAGCCAATGAATCATGAAGGGAGTTTAGTTTCCTTGGGACTGTGGCCTGCATCCAGTACACAGAGACATGCCAGCAAAGCTCACTGGTTTTTGCTCACTCTGCATCCCGCATCTGACTTGTCATCATCTGACCCCTGGTTCTTGGGACTTGAGCCAGTGACTGCCCTGCCACCCTGCAGCCCGTGAGTCAGCAACCTACCATCTTACCTGCCCATATTGGATCCACTGGTTTCCGCAACCTGTGCGCCAGGAGCCTGCTATCTGACCTGCCAATTTTGGGTTTATACACCCCTGCAGCTCCGTGAGTCAGGAGAAACCGCTAGACTGATGTGTGACCCATGGGTTTGGGACTTGCTGGTCTCCACAACCATGTGAACCATTTACTTCAGATAAATCTCTCTGTACATGTATATACATAAGCTTCCCTGGTCCTTCTCCCTCAAGAATCCAGCTTAAGACAGCATCTGTGCTGAAAACACAACTCCCATAGGTGACTATGTGGGACATCCCAGGCATGTGCCAAGCACACCCCTACTCAGTGTATCTCAGGTACACCACCATACCCTGTACACCCTGGCACACCCAGAATATCTCAGATCCACCCTGGTACTCTGGAACACCCTATACATTCCTATACACTCCAGCATCCCAGTACATCCTGTACACCTCAGCACGCCCGTAGTTGAGGACACTGTGCTTGGTGACATGCTACTGAGACACAAACCACCTGAAAATGGCCTGCTCTACTGTCACAGCCAGCTCTCACTCACAGAAGCAGCTCCTCCATCCAAAGGACAGTCAGCTGGGCCATGCCTGGTTACCTGGCCTGTTCTAGTCTCCCTAGGGTAGGCACCTGGTGCTAACCAGCCTTCACAGTCCAAAAGCAGCCCCACTGAGCACAAAGTAAGTGCACCAGTGCTGTGTGGCCTCCACCCCAACGCCCCGTGGCACCCACCTACATGGCCTCCTACATGGCCTCCTGCTCTGAGGAGCAAGGGAGGCACCAGAAGGCAGCATGGGGTAGCAACTGGAATGTAGGGTGTCACAGTTGCTTAACAGGCAGATGCTCACAATTTGAGCTGGTACCCAGGAGCTGCCCACCCTCATAAAAAGGAGCAAAACAAGAGCTTACCGAGGCAGCTCTTCTGCAATTCACGTTGCGGTCAAACACGGTGACAATCAGCAGTGCACTGCAGAGAGAGGGGACAATTAGCTAACTAAGAGGGACTCAGAGAGGGGCAGGCTTTATGAGGCTGTGTGCTCCACTCACCACCTGCTCGCCAGGCACTCCAAGAGTACCCCACTGCAGCTCCCTGCTGAGGCATCTCATATCTCCCCCACTACCATATCCCACAGACTACCAAGCATCAGTCAACTGAGGCATTGATAGCCCCAGATACTGGGCTCCCAAGGCATTGCTCCCCCAAGATGTCAAGTACCCCAAGGGTCAATCCCCCCAGGCATTGATCTCCCACCAGGCATCAGACCCTCTGAGGCATCAATACCCCCATGTGTTGATGCCCCCCAGATGCTGGGCCCTCAAGGTATTGATCTACCCCTGACATGGGGTCCCCAAGACATCAATTCCTCCAGGCCTCTAAGTGACGTGAGAGTGGCCCCATCACTGGTGCCACAGTAGGGGCACCACATCACAGGGAAGAGGCAGCCGAGGGCAGGATGGACTTGGCCTGCAGGGAGGCGGGGGGAGGCCATAACATCACAGGGAGGAGGCAACCTGAGGCAGGATGGACTTGGCCTGCTAGAGGGGAGACAGGCCCACAAAATGTAGAACACAAACTCAGGTGTCAGGTGGACAAGAACAGAGTATTCAGGAGTTCCAGTAAGATGGTGGATTAGGCAGACAGATTGCACAGACCCTCTCCAACAAAGAAAAGGGGAACCAATTAACACAGACACAGAACATAATCTTGGAGCCCTGAGCTTGGAAAGGAAGGATACAGAAGTGAACTAAACTCCAACTGGTAGAAGAAGCTGCATGAAAACACTGAAAAAGGAGATATACGGAGCTGTAATCTATCAGCAATCCTAACAGCATGGACAGCTTAGATATTGCCAAGTGCTGTTAGGATCTAAGAATTAACCTAAAAATCGGCCCTGCTAGCCAGAGGGCTACACGGAGGACTGAGCTGGTGGCTGGTGAATAAAAGAGGAAGCAGCAAAGAGGAAAGTAGGCTGAGCTGTAGATTTTTGCCTGTCTGGAGGGTGCAGCCATTTTGAATGCTTACAAGTGGTTCGACCATTTTTGGATATTTAAAGTGACAGCATTCTCTCAGATTCCAGGGACTTAAGAATAGACTCCACTTGCTGTGGACCACAAGGACATTCTGGACACCAACAACTGTAAAGGTGTGATATTCCCCTTGTTACTCTCATACCCGATACCCTCTTGGTGAAAGGAGCTACAGCCATTCCTCACTCCCACCCACCTTCTGGGCCTGCGGGAATTCCATCCTAGTCTGCATGCTCCAACAGAGCCTGGGTGCCGTCACTCGCCCTGTCCAGATATTTTTTCCTTTTTTTTTTGGTTTGTTTTCATCTGTTTTAATTTTTTTGTTGTTGTTATTGTTGCTCTTTTTATGATTATTCTTTATTCTTCCCTTCCCAGGTCCTAATTTGCAGCTTTGTCTTTCTTCCCTGTTCCTGGTTCCCAATTTTTTCTTTCTTGTGGTTATCCCCACAATTCCTTCTTCTTTTTGTATTTTTCCCATTTTTTTCTTCATTATTCTCCTACTCCTTTTCTCTTATTGCTCCTCTCCCGATATTACAGGTTGGTTTTTTTGGGGTTTTTTTTTTTTTTTTTTCATTTCTTTTTTTGGTGATTATTCCCATATGTTTATGCGGTGTGTTTTTGTCCAGTTGCTTTTACTTTTTTGATGGTTTTTCAACTGTTGTTTTTATCTAACTGAGTGGGAGACAGCACCGTGCCCATACGACACAACTACACCCACACCTCCTGCAGCTCCACTTACTAAGTGAGAGCCACCACTTCCTTCTTCATCAATTGCCAATGACAAATGACCACTAAGCAGAGCCTGACTCATCCTTACTGCTCTTCATGAACAGTTAACAGAGATCTACATACAACAACATCACAATGTCTCAGAGACAACAGACCATCACAGTCCACACAAAGAAGCAAGATAAAGCAATAGAGACAAGGGAGCACAATACAGACCCAGAACACATCCCTGAGGAAGAAGCAACATTAGAACTCCCTGATAAAGAATTCAAAAGAATTATACTTAGGTATCTTCAAGAACTGAGAGACATCAAGGAAAACACTGACAAAATTAAAGAAAACACAGACAAAACCCTAGAACAATCTTGGAAGAAAACACAAGAACAAACTGACAAAATAAATGAAAAATTAGAAATGATACAAAATCTCCAGATAGAAATCTAGAAGATTAATACTAAATTTTCAGAAACAGATAACACATTTAAAAGGCAAAGGAGCAAAATCAAATTGATGGAAAACAAAAGTAATGAGACTGAAGACAAATATCTGAATACTTCTTTGTAAAGGGATCAATCAAGGAAAAAGATCAAAACAAAACGAAGAAAGCCTAAGATTCATGGGATACATCAAAAGGAACAGCCTATATGTAATCAGAATTCCAGAACAGGAAACCACTGAGAAAACTGTCCAAGATTTGTTGGAAGAGAACTTCCTTGATATGATGAAAGATGAGACTATATCCATTCAGGAAGTTCTACGAACCCCACACAGGATAGACCCCAAAAGAAAATTACCAAGACATATCATCATCAAACCCATCAAAACCAAAGACAAAGAAAGAATCCTGAAAGCAGCACAGGAAAAACTAAAAGATACCTACAAAGGACAACCAATAAGAATAAGCTCTGATTTCTCAGCAGAAACCAAGCAGGCGAGAAGGCAATGGGATGGAATATATAAAATCCTGAAAGAGAAAAATTTCCCACCAAGAATTATATATTCAGCAAAACTGTCCCTCAAATATGATGGTGAAATTAGGAGATTTCCAGATAAGCAGAAATTAAGGGAATTTGTTAAAACCAGACCAACCTTACAAGAGATACTAAAGGGAGTCCTTTGAACAGAGAACCAAAAATAGCAAATAACAACTGACCATTAACACACAAGATGACATAACCCAGAAACCAACACAGCTGTGGAAGCATCCAAAGTAAAATAAGCTTATAAGATTGTAAACAGGGAAACAGAGACATCAATTGGCAAATGAGGACAACTACAAACCAAAAAGAGGGAAAATAATAGTGTAGTTACAGAACTTCTAAATCGTGAGGAAGTCAAGAGAGTTGCAAGATAGAATGGATGGTTCTAAACTCAGGAAGAAAATCATAAATCACAGGGTAACTTCAAAGAAAAATGATAAACCTTCACATCACAATAAAAATGAGGACATGCACAAATATTTAGCAAATATTAAAACAACAGCAACAAAGGAAATGATAATATGATTCATAAACATAATGAGCTCAGCACAGAAAATTATATGGAACAAAGAAACCAGGAACACCAGGAAAAAACACATAACAAAATGACAGCAACCAATTCATACTTGTCGATAATTACACTGAATGGCAATGGATTAAATGCACCATTCAAGAGACGGAGAGTTGCATACAGGATAAGAAAACATAACCCATCAATAGGCTGTCTATAAGAGACACACGTTAGAGACAAAGACAAAAACAGCCTAAAAATCAAAGGTTGGAAAAAGGTATCAAGCAAATGGCAACCAAAAAAGAGCCGGAGTGGCAATATTAATTTCTGATAAAATTGATTTTAAGACAAAAATCACCATAAGAGACAAGGAAGGACATTATATAATGTTTAAAGGATCAATTGAACAAGAAGATATAACCATAAGAAATATCTATAAATCCAATGAAAGAGCTCCAAAATACGTAAAGCAGACCTCAACAGAGTTGAAAAGGCAAATAGATGATCCCACAATCATAACACAACGTGACACATTGCCATCGAGTTGGATCCAACTCACAGCAACCCCTCCTTGGGTTTCCAAGGCAGTATTACTATGGAAGTAGATTGCCCAACCTTCCTTCCCAGGAATGGCTGGAGGGTTTGAACCACTAGCCTTCTGGTTAGCAGTCAAATGTCTTAGGCACTACACCACCAGACCTCCTGATCATAGTCACCAAAAAGAAAAAAAAAAACTCACTGCCATCAACTAACTTGATTCAACTCATAGTGAAACCTCCTTGAGTTTCCGAGGCAGTATCTCTACGGAAGTAGATTGCCCAACCTTCATTCCAAGGAGTGGCTGGTTGGTTTGAACTGCCAGTCTTCTGGTTAGCATTCAAATGCCTTAGGCACTGTGCTACCAGAGCTTTAACATACCACTTTCAACGAAAGAAAGAACAATTGGAAAGGAACTCAACAAAGACACAGAAGAGCTAAACAATTCAATCCACCAACTTGACCTTATAGAGATATACAGAGCATTTCACCCAAGAACAGCACAATATACATTCTTTTCAGTGCACATGGAACATTCTCCATGACAGACCATATGTCAGGCCGTAACGCAAGCCTCAATAAATTTAAAAACATTAACATACTGCACAGCATCTTCTCAGATCACAATGCTATCAAATTAGAAATCAATAATAGGAAGAGCAACATAAAAAGAGCAAACACATGGAAACTGAACAACACCTTCCTTAAGAACAACTGGGTAATAGAAGAAATTAAAAATGAAATTTTAAAGTTCTTTGAATCAAACAAGAATGAAAACACAACAAAGCAAAATCTTTGAGACACAGCAAAAGCAGAGGCCAATTTATAGCAATAAATATGCACACATCAAAAAAGAACAAAGAGACAAAAATCAAGGCTTCAAACCAACATCTCCAACAAGCAGAAAAAGAAGAGCTAGAAAAGCCACCAGAAGAAAGGAAATAATAAAGATTTGAGCAGAAATCAATGAAACAGAAAATAGAAAAACAGAAAAAATCAACAAGACTAGAAGTTGGTTTTTTGAAAAGATTAATCAAATTGACAAAACCCTGGCAAATTTAACAAAGGAAAAGAAGGAGAGAACACAAATAACATGAATAAGAAACAAAATGGGCACCATCACAACAGAACCAACTGAAATAAAAAGGATGATATCAGGATATTATGAAGAACTATAACAAA